TTAGAGAAATAGTCATTCATTCACAGAAGGCATAGTAGTATTACACGTATTGAGGGCTGTAATTTTTTGTAATTTCCTTGGGAGCTGGAGAAAGGATTGCACTTCTTTAAAGAGGTGTGATGGTGCACTATTTTCGCTATTAGTTATGTTTGCTTTCAACTTTTCCTTTGAGATGAGCTTTTTGTGTGTTTGTTGGAGTGCCTGTTTCTACAGGATCCATTTAACGGTATTGAATTGACTAATGCATTTAACTGGGTAAAAGCGCATGTAATTTATAGGTGTGTTATGTATGGTTTGAGTTCGTCATATGTGATGAGGATATGATAACTGTGCTGTGCAAAAGTTTTACCAATCAACGTTTTTTGAAATAGGATCTTGGTTGAAGTTTGTGCTCTACAAGGCTACATTTATTTGATAAAAAATGTATACAATACATAAAATACGAAAGCAATGACATTATTGAATTGATCAATTCAAAATAAATACATAAATAAAAGTAAAAATAAGAAAATAAAATAAGAAAGCAATGAATTTATTGAATTAATTAATAACAGCTAAGAATTGTTAATAATTAAAATATTATATATTTTATACACCCAGCGCTTCACAATCATGAGGGGGGTCTCTCCACACCACCACCAGTGTGCAGCATCCACTTGGATGATGCGACGGCTGCCACAGGACAACGGCGCCAGTGCACCCACCACACACCAGCTATTGGTGGAGTGGAGAAACAGTGATACAGCCAATTCGGTGGAAGGGGATGATTGGGAGGCCATGATCGTATGGGCCGATAGAGGGACTTTGGCCAGGACACCGGGGTTACACCCCTGCTCTTTCATGAGAAGTGCCATGGGATTTTTAATGACCACGGAGAGTCAGGACCTCGGTTTAACGTCTCATCCGAAAGACAGCGCCTACTGACAGTGTAGTGTCCCCTTCACTTTTACTGGGGCATTAGGACTCACATAGACCTCAGGTTGAGCGCCCCCTGATGGCCTCACTAACACCACTTCCAACAGCAACCTGGTGTTCTCTAGTGGTCTCCCATCCAGGTACTAACCAGGGCTGCGTTTCCCAAAAGCATCGTAAGCCTAAGAAGTTCGTAGAAATGATCGTACGACTGATCTTAATATTACGGTCTGTTTCCCAAAAGCATCGTAACTTAAGTAGCACTTGAAAATCTTAGTGGATCTACGAGTGCTCTGGAGTAATCGTAAAGCCTTAAGTGCATCGTAAGGAGACAGAGTTATGAGGGCACCTGCTGGACAACCGGCAAATTGCACCTACAATTTACTTCTCTTCAAAGTCATTATTCATTTTATTTGTACGTATATCTCTATTCATTTATATTTTCTACACATTACACAATTCAATATACAAATAATAATTCTTCCTGACCTCATTCCCTGATCTTTTAATCCCCCTTGTTGCAGTAAGTTTTGTAGCAATATCGTCCCACATTTTTTGTTTTTCTTTATTTGTGTGACTGCCCTTAAACCTGCTGAAAATTATATGTTTTTGTAGCTCCACCTCCTCTAAAATAATATTAATTTCCTCTTTTTGAAAAATGACTTTTCTTTGTTTTTTGGTTTCAGCCATTTTGCTAGTGTCTCCACCCCTAGGTATGTGCTTATTTATATTTTTGTCCTATTAGCAAATGCACATCAGGTGGGGATAATTAGGCTAAACTTTTCAAAAATAAATGTAAGAGCTTATTTATTTATTTACTTATTTATTTATTTTGATGTGAGATAAGCAATTTTTGATAAAGAAATTGATAAATAATTCTACTTAATTAAGGTTTCATATAAATATCGAAAATGATGCTGATGTCATTTCTGGCAAGGACTGTTAGAATTAGTTTTATGCGAGATTGGAGCAAGACAGATACGACATTTCCAGTTAATTTATGTTTTTAAACTGGCTCAAAAATATATTTTTTTTATGTTATTCGAGTTGAATATACATTCACACAAGTACAAGAAGAATTATATGGATTGCTATAACATGTGCAACAATAACGAGCCATTCTATAGCGTGACATTTCAGCACTTAACAAACGGATAGCGACTCCTAAGTTGCACTTAAAGCTGGGCTACGTGCAATTGTGTTAAGTGCATTTTTGGGAAACGCACGTGAAACAATAACGAACGTTCGCAAAATGACTCGTAGAAAACGCTCTTAAGTGCTAAGATCAATCGTTATCGGGAAACGCAGCCCAGGCTCAGCCCTGCTTAGCTTCAGTGAGTAACCGGTCTGGGCTGCAGGGTGATATGGCTGTGGTCAGATTAATTAAGTTTAAAAAAAAACTTAATTAATCTGATTTTGTAGATTTTGATTAAAATTGATAAAAAAAATTTTCCAAAAATTATTTATGTTTTAAATATATATATTTAAATGTATAGATTTTATTGTAAGATAAATGGTTTTTAAGCTTTTTATATCAGAACCAGCCTGGTAAAAGGGGTGTTTTTTTTTTTTTCTGCAGCCAGACCCCTCTCGACAATTTAAGCACTACACTGTAAAAAAAAAAAAAAAGTTGAATAAACTTAAAATAATAAGGCAACCAATCACACACAGCTTTTTAAGTTAACTAAGTCAACTTAAAATATTTTGTTGAATTCCTTGTTTAACCAACAACATATTTTTGTTTGCTGAACAAATATTATCATGTTTACTCAACAAGATCTTTTGTTTGCTAAACAAAAATTTTCACGTTTATTCAACAAGATCTTTTGTTTACTGAACAAAAATGATCATGTTTACCCAACAAGATCTTTTGTTTGCTGAACAAAAATTTTCACATTTATTCAACAAGATCTTTTGTTTACTGAACAAAAATGATCATGTTTACCCAACAAGATCTTTTGTTTGCTGAACAAAAATTTTCACGTTTATTCAACAAGATCTTTTGTTTACTGAACAAAAATGATCATGTTTACCCAACAAGATCTTTTGTTTGCTGAACAAAAATTTTCACGTTTATTCAACAAGATCTTTTGTTTACTGAACAAAAATGATCATGTTTACTCAACAAGATCTTTTGTTTGCTGAACAAAAATTTTCACGTTTATTCAACAAGATCTTTTGTTTACTGAACAAAAATGATCATGTTTACTCAACAAGATTTTTTTAGTTTACTGAACAAAATAAAACAAACTGATTCATTATGCATTTACTATTAATTTTTAGGATTCATATTAAATACACAAGAATAGTCAATTCACTTTTTTTATTTTTAACTGTGTTCAAATCACAATCCAAAACATTTGCATACAAAATCAGCATTTGACATTAGCCGTGTTCAGCATTGGGCTAGTTTGTACACAACTAGTACTGAATGTTTCCAGATTTGAAAAGATTGTTCACTGCTTCAACATAAAATAACTGGCAACCTTACTAAAACCAAGCTATTAGTGTGTCCAAACACTCAAACCAGGTGAATATACAATTATCTAATCAGAGTAAACCCTAAAAGCCACTCCATTCAAACAGTCTTTAAAGTGTACTGCACTTTTGTCAACAAAGTACATCAAGTCCAAAAACAGACCTCAAAACATTCAAACAGTGGCACAGTGGGAAGTGCTTTCGCCTCCCACCAAGGTCGCTGGTTCGAGTCTCAGCTGGGTCAGTTGCCGTTACTGTGTGGAGTTTGAATGTTCTCCCTGCGTTCACGTGGGTTTCCTTTGGGTTCTCTGGTTTCCCCCACAGTCCAAAGACGTGTGGCACAGGTGAATTGGGTAGGCTAAAATTGTCCATAGTGTATGTGTGAATGAGTGTGTATGGATGTTTTCCAGAGATGGGTTGCAGCCGGAAGGGCATCCGCTGCGTAAAACAAGTTCATTGCGCTGTGGCGACCCCAGATTAATAAAGGGACTAAGCCGAAAATAAAATGAATGAATGAATGAACTGAACTCTCGCAGATCATGTGCCACCAACCTCCATAAAACATGCTGAATCACTTAAAAAGTATATTTGAGTTCTTTTGGGTGTTCCATATTCAGTCTATACAAGAGGCTGAACAAGTAAGCGAAGGCTGCAGGCAGATGTGTGATATCCTGAAGTACTATGGCCTCCTCCAAGATTTTAGCGAGGTTCATCACATATTGCAGGGATGCAGAAGTGCCATTATCATCTTCCACCACAGTGAAGATTCCAATCCTTTAATCTCTGGTGCTGTGGTCTTCAGGCTCCGTGTCCTTATAGGAGATTAAGTAATGGGAAAATTAATTGATGTGTAATATTAATTACTACTTATTAATGTTATTACTATTATGCAAAGAAAATAAAAACATGTAATACTTTCGTACATACAAACAGTAACACTTAGAATAGTCTATAATATATAATAATTGAACAATATATTGACAACTTTTTATTATTTAGCAATTTTTTTAACTTTTATTTTACATAAAATTGCAAAGATTTACTTTTATTTGATACAGTTTCAATTGTGAAAGTTGTTTATTGTCCTGTTTAGAATATAACTGAGCCTTTAATTGTCATTCATAAGGGATTTATAAAGCATAAATAGTCCTCACTTTAGATTAGGTCACAACTGGATGAAGTTAAGCTCATAAAGCATATACTAACATACAAAGTAACTATTATTACATACCTTAATATTAGGATATTTAAATGTTAATTTGAATAGTTTATTAATCGTGTACTTAAGCATTCTGAATGATCTTAAAAACACCAAGTATTCTTAAATAACTGGTTTGTAAATAATGCACTACTTAAATTAGTAATACAAATGAATCATTAAAGTTAAAAAAATACAATCACTGAGCACTTCATGTAGAGTTATGCTTAACAGAAAATAAATTAACTATTCACTAATACTAAATAAATTTATAGCGTGCAGCTATTATAAGTGTTACCAAGCAGACTAATAAATGTAGAATAGGGTATGAAAATGGGTAACTTACCAGACATATCTTGAGAAAGCAAGCAAAATTTTTACGAAGAAAAATTGGCAATCCCTCAAGAGCTGCTCTTTCTCGATCGGTGACAATATCAGTGACCTAAAGGAAAGTCATTTACAAAGGGTGTTTTACAATCTTATTGTTTTGTAAGTAAAAATGTACTTAGTACATTTAAATGAGCATAGTATTTTATTCATGCTGTTGAAAAAACACATGGCTTTATTTTTAAAAAAGAATTTTGTGGTTTCCATACAATGGAATTTGATAATGGTTGTGTTGGCAAATTTAGAAAAATGTTTAGTTTCATGTGACAATTACTTTGAGTTAAAAACTACAGCTATTAATTTCTATTTTCCTCTTTGAATGTATTCATTTGAAATGGTCACTCAAAACAAGTGAAACATCTGTTATTTATCTTACTTCCATCTCACAATCAAAACACAACTTGACACAATTAAAATTAATGCAAAAGGGCTGGACAATTAAATAGTTGCAATTACGTTTTATTAGACTGTATTACCTGAGCATGAAATTCATGCTTTTGTGTTTGACAGGACAAAATATGTTGCACATGTTAAAAACATCAGACGGGTGTATAAGAAAAAAAAAATTCTTAATGAGTACCTGCTCATCCATCTTGTTTAAAGTTGTATCCATCTCTGGACCCATTGAATCCCTTCTTTTTCTGTAGAGTTTCAGGAGAGGTGCTGTATATTTATCAAGTCACTCGATTAACTGTCTCAGGAGATCTACATTACAGATCTAAGAAAACTCTTTGCAGATCTACAATATACAAAAAAACATACATATTAATATTTACACATAATATATATATATATATATATATATATATATATATATATTTGTAAATGTAAATATTTAAATGTTCAAATGCTGAATACAGATGTATTTTGAATTACCTATAATAATAATGTTGTTTGTTATTTTTAGCATTATCATTACTACCTTGAATGAAACCAAAGCAATTGCAATATAGTGACTTACCTCTTCCTTAAAGTCCAGGTTATCTCTCTCTAATTTCTTCCTGGCTAAATCTCAACAACTTCTTTTGGGCAAAGAGAAAAGGTTTCTTGCATCTGCTGGTGAATGACCGTCAAATTTCACTGATGATAGCAAGTCTCACCTCCTCAAGGAAATCTTGCATTGAATTATGTCATTGTCAATATTTCAGTCCTTTTGAGCAAAAAGAAAGAAAAATATATATTTAGCCCTTTATATTTTTTATGTAAATAAAAGCTAGCTGACTGTTAAAGCAAGTTGGTCTGAATATGATAGACATTTAGTCGAGCTAACTAATATACAAGCAAATCAAGCAATGAATTACATGAAAATCACACGATTTTCACACAAATTACACAGTTAAACACGTCACCGTTTGTTCCACTGGCTCTGGTTCGAAGGGAAAAAAGGTTATGATGTGCGCAATGCTGACAGCAATCTAGATAAACAGGACATAATGTTATATTCGTTTTAGCAAGGAAATTTGACTTGGATACCTGATCTGGTATGTTATATGATACTCATTGTATTAATCGTGAGTTATTAAAGCAAATGACTCGATTGAAATCGCTATTTGTTTCAAATACATTCACTCAAAACTTTTATTGATGTAAATAGCCAAAACCAAGTGCACGAAACAAGTAACTCACGGCTAAATTATAACAAATAGTTCCGTATTAGGATACACGCGCACATCAAAGCCAACATATCAAATAATATAACGTTAGATGACAACAAAAAAGACATACATACCTATGATTTAGTGATGTGACGTTGTGCGCCGAGTCTTCGAAGCATGTATCAAAAAAACGATACATCTCGCAGTGAAGCAGTGTACCGGAGCTTGATTCGTTTTGCCATCATCACGTGATCAGTGACGTCCGAAGCTTCATTTTTGCCTTTACCCACGTGACTGCTTCGAATTTTGATTCAAAGGTTTAAACACCCTCATAGTAAAGTGTATAGCTAGAGAATTGGCGTCTATTACATACATTTGTTTCAAAGCACTGCACCAGTCTCAAACACCAGTAATTAAACTAAACTACAATAGTATTTTTTAGTAAAAAGGTTTTGAACAATACTAAAGTGTATTAGCGTATTTTTTATGACTATCTTTAAAAAAAACCACCGCATATCGTAGTATTGTGTTTGACAGAGAGCATCTGGTGAATGCAACACTGAAGCATCATTCATATAGCGTCCTCCTAGAGCACTCGCCTCCCAATCAGGAATCGTTGATTCGATCCCTGCTTGGAGCGGGACTAATTGTATTATGATAAACTTTTGAATACCTTGGATTTTACTACAATCATCAGTTGTGTAATGTAATATATCTTGTGTAAAAACTACAGTAATTGAGTAATTTGTTTATATTGCTGTTTTTGTATTACTACATGAATGAGTTGGTCAGTTGTGAACAATTGACATTATGGCAACACAGTGCTTTCCCACACTTTCACCAGAAGAGATCCTCATCGAGCTCTGATTTAGAAAGCTTCGAGTAACGAACCTTTTTCCGATACAATTTAGTCGAGCGCTTCACTGGTTCAGAAAGCTTCATTTCACCATCACTACTATGATTTAGCAGAAACGTCGTTGGCCTGCTCTTAACCGCTCTATCACGGTCTCTCACATCATTAATACACTGGTAAAATAGATCGGGCAGTCAGATGGGTAGCACATCGCACAAAAAACATGTATACAATTATATACAATCGATTATGAAAACAATTGACACGTAGCTCCGCAGAAAGAAAGATGGTTCGTTTTGTCGCGCGCATGAGACAGGTACCCCCTGCAGTGAGCTATGGAAGTAAATTGCGCATGCGCCAGAAGCTTATAAGGCGCATGCGCCAACAAGAAGGGCACGCATCAACGCAAAACTAAGAATTTTGTATTAGTTCAACGAAATATTTTAAGTTTTTCACATTGAAGCACCATATTTGTTGAACAAACTAACTATTATTTGTCAGCATTTCAAATGAAAATATTTAAATTCAGTTAACTTATTAATCTTTGTTCAGAGGACTTTTTGAAAGTTGGCGTTTTTACAGTGTATATTTAGCTGAATTGGCTTGTCGGATGCTCATCATAACCACACTTTTTAATATACCAAATATTTCCTAAGGATTTAGAATAAAGAAATATTTTATTATTTTTTTTTTTTATCCAAATGTATATCATTAGAAAAAAACTTTTTTTTATTAAAAAATTAGGCCTATTGTCATTAATTAGGCAAATAACAAAGTGGCCAGAACATTTGGCCATTTTAACAAAAAGTAATGAATAGATTGACAGTAAAAGTTACTAATGAAAGGTAGTTACCAGTAGTGAAAGACTTCTCTAAAGTCAGATTGTGTGTTTTCTTGCATAGCTGGAAATTGGAAAAATATTTGTTAGCATTGGCCAAATCTCTAAGCTCTTCTCACACCCAACAGAGTATTCCACATAGTTTTAAAGCCTTTTTCCTTTTTCCATTGGTCATTTTGACTATTTATGATGGCAAAGCAGTCAAAATAAGACAAATGAGCTCATTATGGGACAAATTATGGACCTTTGTCAGTGAGAGGTAGGCCTTTCACCTATTTTTTTGCCAGTTTATATCATACTTATATTCAGTTCTTTGCAAAAGTTTCCAGATTTGTTAATACATAATACTGTTTTTAGTGTGTGCATTCGTGCATGTGTGTGTTGTATTAGTCATGTTTGAAAAATATTACATATTTAATGAAATAATTATTCATTTGTACATTTAAACATGTTTGTATTCTGTGATGTAAAAAAATTTAGCTAATCTTAACAAAATCCTTGTCAATCATCTGTGGAAGTATACTAATAACTAATTCCCCTTAGTCACCCGCAGTGTCTTGCCTTTATTTACTGCAGTGAATTCTATAGTAAGGAAGCTCAATCTGCGTAATGACACTTTTGTGTGTTCATGTGAGTAAACCCTAGGTTTCTTTGCACCATCTGCTTGCAAACCCTCACATCACAGCAACAGTCCGCTAACTCCATGTAGGCTGGTAATTTGCATGTTGTCAAGCTGTAGATTATTCAGCGTCTAGAGGATTATATCCTCCTCTGCACCAGAAGTTCAGACGCAGCCAAACTGAGGTTTCGCCCATAGTAGATTCATACAGATGACACACATGATGGCAATGACGCAGGAGCTCGACTGAGCCACAAACCACTCAGTCCAGACTGAGAACTCTAATCAAGTGCTGTTCAAAAATTATTTACTGGCTCACTTGACCATATTTACTCTTTAGGATATCACCAGATATCAGTGTTGACACAGAGTTTAATATGTAATAGATTATCAAAAGATAAATATCAGTAATGCGGGAAAAGAAGGAGACACTACATTGTTAAATGACAATTTGTATTTTTTTGGGAAACTATAAATACAGTTAAACTCCTCAAACAGAATTAATTATTCAAGTAAGCAACTTTTCCAGAGATTGATTGCGGCTGGATGGGCATCCGCTGCATAAAAAAAACAAAAAAAAAACGTGCTGGATAAATTGGATAAGCCGAAAAAGAAAATGAATGAACGAATGAATAAGTAGGCAACACTTCAGGCCACTTTATAAGGTACACCTTACTAGTACCGGGGTGGACCCCCTTTTGTATTCAAAACTGCCTTAATCCTTCATGGCATAGATTCAACAAGGTACTGGAAATATTCCTCAGAGATTTTGGTTCATATTGACATGATAGCATCATGCAGTTGCTGCAGATTTGTTGGCTGCACATTCATGATGCGAATCTCCTGTTTCACAACATCCCAAAGGTGCTTTATTGGATTGAGATCTGGTGACTATGAAGGTCACTTAAGTACAGTGAACTGAACTCATTGTCATGTTCAAGAAACCAGTCTAAGATGTTTCGGGCTTTATGACATGGTGTTTTATCCTGCTGGAAGTAGCCATCAGATGATGGGTGCACTGTGGTCATAAAGGGATGGACATGTTCAGCAACAATACTCAGGTCTGTGGTGTTGACACAATGCTCAATTGGTACAAATGGGCCCAAGGTGTGCCAAGAAAATATCCCCAACACCATGAAACCACCACCACCGGCCTGAACTGTTGTTACAAGACAGGATAAATCCATACTTTCATGTTGTTGACGACAAATTCCGCAGCAGAAATCAATACTTATCATACCAGGCAGCTTCTATAGTCCAATTCTGGTGAGCCTATGTGAATTGTAGCCTCAGCTTCATCAATGCATTTTAACATGTAGACACGGGGAATGGCCAGACTTACAGAAGTGGCTCCCGATGTGGTCTTCTGGTGCTCTAGCCCATCCACCTCAAGGTTGGACATGTTGTGCCCACAGAACTGCCACTCACTGGATATGTTCTCTCTGTCATTCTCTGTAAACCCTAAAGATGGTTGTGTGTGAAAATCCATTTTCTGAAATACTCAGACCAGCCTGCCTGGCACATACATACATACATCATTCTTGTTGTCACAGTATTGTTGTTGTTGTTGTTGTTATTTAAAAGTAATTTTTACATTTTCATTCATTTATAATAGGAGCATGCATGCATACAGATTTTTTCATTTTTTTGTTTACATACATTTTTCATTTATTTTTAAAATTATTTAGTCATTTATACAAAAAATAAATAAATAAATAATAATAAATAAATTTATTTTGGAAAGAATAATAAGAGAACACATGAATTAATGAACAAATGGATAAACAAATCAAATTTAATTGCAAGTAGGGGTTACAGTAGTAATTACAAACCTGATGCACACCCTGAAACATTAGAAAAGCTGATTGAACTACCATAGTGTATGAAATGTGCTATATAAATAAACTTGCCTTGCCTTGAAACCTTAAGAGAATTTTAAGTTTGTGATTTCCAGACCTAAAAAGGTTGACTGAACATTTACAAAACCTTAGTAAATACTTACTATAATATTATTAAAACATAGATAACACTATAATCTTAATATAATAAGTAATCATATTATAATCTTTACCATATTATAATCTTTAATCTTTAGAGGAAGTCTTACAGAAAGTCAGTA